GCACTGACTCCCCAGAAGTCTCCTGATTTGCCCAATGCAGGTGTGACAGGCCATATTATGGAGACCTGTGTCACACTGTGTGCCGTGAAGGACAAGCCACATGAACCTGGACTGTTCCTGGTTTTGCTTAGGATATCTTAGGATGATACTTAGGATAATCTCAGGATGCTAATTTTCTTTGATGAGTGATTTGGGGAAATATCTTGTTGACTTTCTTCCCACCTTAGCAAATTCCAAGGTCGACTGGATAACCGCCGCCCCCTTGTCGCTTTTGTCTTCGGTCGCTGTGCGATCCGAGTTCCCACGGCAAGCCGCAAGCCTCCGGCGAGGTTGGGACGAGGCTTAATGAAGCTAAGCAAGTTGAAGGAGCTTGGAGCCCAGGAGTGCGGTGTGTGGTGCTGTGTGTGGTTTTTCTCGAACATGCTTTCGTGCAGTCCTTGGGGCCTTGGGACATGGGAGGAGCTCCGTTCGGCGAGAAAAAGCAGTGCGGACTTCGTCCGAAAAGCCATTGGGACTTTGGAAGATGGTGAAAGTCGATTCCAGGATGGAGTGTCAACTTAATGAAAAGAGAAGCGAAGAGAGTTTTGTCATCAATTTCATCCTGCAGCACTGTGTTCCACTGCACCGGCATGTCGGGGTTCACCTTCCTCCAGACTTGAAATATCGTGAAATCATGTTGATTTCACTGTGGCTTCACCTAGTGCCACCAATGTACAAGATGTCAGGATCAGATCTTGTGCAATGTGAGGATCAGGCTCAATGTCAGAAGATCTGTGAGGGGCGACGTTGGGGCAGAGACGATTTTGGAGCCTGCACACCACCTCGGAAACGTCCGGAAGGATATAGACGTAGATAATACAACATCATGGCCATGGAACAGTGGAAGACATTATGTATGATTTTCCTGTGCAAGGTTCGGGCCACCACAAGACTCTATTGGCACCCTGGTACACCTTTCTGTGAACAAGTTGTCCCCAGGTTGTATCATGCAGATCCCAACCCTCCCCCCCCGCACACACACACATATTCGACAACAAAAATTACAGCATCAAACAATTGTTGGCTTTGGGAGGGGCAGAATAATATTTTAAGTTCTCTTCAATGCCCTAAGCGGTACCCCTCAACAAATTCTTACGTATCCATCTTATCCCATGTCCCCCCCGGTGGTCGCGCCGGCACCGCCTCAATTGCTGTCCTCGAGGCTGCGCATTGCGTTGAACGAGTTGACCTCGCTCGAGGGTTTGCAGGGGCTTGGAGCTTTGGAGGCGGCGAGGGCAGACTGATGGAACGAGACAGAAAAGAGTTAGAAAAGGAAAAACATGGAAAAACATGGTAGGATCATAATTAATGGCATAATATGCTGGGTAAAAGCTCCAACTGCAAATATGTGCAAATTATGGTTAGAATAATGGTAATTAAGTAAAGAGTGATCACGTTTCAAGGATTGCATATATCGTTTCTATCTACTTCTTGGGTACCGGTATGGAGGGTCCATAGATACCTCCACTTATCTCCACGTGGGCGCACACTGCCAGTTCCAATCATTTTGCCGCTGGTTGAAACACACAAAACCTGGATCAGTCAGACCTGTCAAGTGACCATTACCCACCCCCAAATCCCTCACAGAATTACCCTGTTTTCCGCTTGGAGTTTCAACCAACCGCCGAATCAGCGAACTCCGCGACCCCGTTGGAGGTCCTGGACGCGTCGCGCAACCAGTTGGAGACCTTGAGCATCGAGCAGTTGAAAGGCGCGCCATGCACTGGTCAAGCGCGGTTCCGCGCTTTGGAGGCCCCGACCTGTTTGAGACTGGCATATGAAGGGACATGACATTGGACGTATTACATTGGGGTGCTGGAAAAAAGAACTGGTCCATGTATGGTAGACATGGGAGTGTGAACTTTCGGGCATGGCGTTGCGAGTCGCGGCCGTCGCTGGGCCTGTCTTTCACTGCTGGAACGGCCAAGAACATTTGGGATTCGACGCAAGAACCATCAACGTTCGAAGCGTCGCATGGTGTCGAAATGGAAGGTCTGGGGTTGTCATCCGTGATTCTTGACATGATCATCCGTGGCCTGCACACGCACTGGGCCCCAACACCTGGGTTGTCATCCGTGAAACTCACGCCCAACACGCCCAACGCGGTGTCCGCGGTGTGATGTGTCACCGTCTCCGTCGGTCGATCCATCGACCGGAAGGTCTTGGAAAAATGGACGAGCTGCTCTTGGCAGGAGAAGAGAGACGCGTGACGCGTCGTGGGTCGGTTCGAGTCGCGGAGGGTACAAAAAGAAGACCGAAAACGCCGGAGAGAAGGAGTTTTTCCTGGAGGGTCCGTCCTGGGTGTCCTGTTTGGAGATCACTAAGTGCATTGCTTTGAATCATATGAGTAGGAACGCGATTGGAAAGGATTTCCTCTCCAAAATACCCCTTGGACATCTCAGTCAGACTGGTTTCGCCTAGCTATTCAGCCAAAAACTAGGCTGGACACCTAGGAAACTGGGATTTCCTAAATTCCTCCCTAATGGAGATCAATGGAAAGGGTGAACCTCTTAATCAATCATTTGGTCATGGCAGGTCACAGTGTTACGTCAATGGCTCGAGACGCCACACGTCCTCCGTGTGTGTCGTGCGTGTTTTCACTGAACGTGCTGCGGACCGATCACTTCCCCACCGGGTATTTCTGCAGAATCGGAGGAGCAGCAGCCTCAACCACCGAAACAGCGATGTGCAGTCGACCCAAAGCTTCCGCACGAACTGCTCAACTGTAGGGTACGAACTTTGCTCGAAATCATCGGCTCTGTGTTCGAGTACGTTGGGGACGTTCTTTTGTCTGCCAGGAAACCAATTGTCCAGCCTGAACTTCCTGGGAGCCGGAGGCCCTCGTGCGGAGCCTCAGAACTAGAGAGCCCGCTAGATTCGGTGTGGGTTTGGGTTCGGCAGGCAGCCGAAGCTCACATGGTTGATCATGGTTCAAGATATTCCAAGATTCTGTTGAAGGATCGAACTGTTTTTTACACGCAAAACATCGCAAAAAATACCTTTTGAATCTCTAAAAAGGCAGATGCACCACCAGTTTCCAGTTCAGCCTTTGTGGGAATTGAAGACGCTCCGCAGATGGGGATCCTTAACCTATAGCAGTAGTGAAGCACCTGAAAAATCCGAGAGTTGGGCGTTTTTTGAACCTGTGACCCAAGAACAGACCAAGTTGGGAACCTGGTGAACTGTTGACAACAAAGGTGCTTGACTAAAATGAGGTAAATTCAGTATTAATTATATATAATATATGTGATAGTATATTGTCATAAATATTATGACATGCAGAATACCGACATGTAAAAAACACATGGAGTGTTTGGGCCATGTGCTACACACCATGTGCTACACATAACACACAATTCGCCACCCGATCCTTCGCCTTGTTCCTCTCCTCGCAGTACGGATCTCATCCTTGGACGTCTCAGACAACCAGCTGAGCACCTCTGCCGTGAAAGGCGCGTGAGCATCGTGAAATGCGCGTGATGGGGTGGGGCCTGAGCAGCGAAGCATAGTGAAGCAACGACAAGCGATGCGGGTTTTGATGGGGTGTTCCATGGGTTTGGATGGTGGACAAGTGACGGGGAGTTGATTTCTTTTATTAGTGTTTGTTTATGTTTTGCATTTTTCAGCCACCCAGCAACCCTTCGGTTTGTGGAGGGCTATGTAGTTATGCTGCATAACTTATAGCACCACTACATTGAATATTTCCGGTGAACAGCGAGGATAAGCCAATTGACGTTTGGGGACAGATTGAATCACCAACCAGTACTGCAGAGGGGAGGAGAGACAGAAAAAGCAAAGACTATATATCATAATATATCATAATTACTTGGTGGTTTTATTCTATGCAATTGTACTTAATAAATTATACTTGTAGGCCATCGGCTAGTTCAGTTCCTGCTCTAGTTGACTTGCGGCATCCCAAAACCTCGCACCTGGCCCATGACTTAGCATCGCACCAGTGCGCCCTGGACCGGCCAGGTCTGCCAGGTCTGCCTCTTCTCTCCGAGTTGATGCTCGCAGGGAATCACCTCGAGGACCCCGGTGGCACCGCGCGGTCCGCGCGCGGAAACCTGGCGGAGGCGTTGTCGTGACCGCCTCAGTCGGTGTGGCGCTCGCGCTGGAGTGAAGTGGCCCGGCCATGTAACGCCTCAGAACCTATGCAGCATGGTTCGTTCAACCTGGAGCCCGACCTGGCCATGTTGCGAAAGACCTTCCAGGTCTAGTCAACCAATACCCGGGGCTTTCACCGAAGGGTCGGAAGCGCCGACAGAGTCCGCAAGTCTCGTTGGGTCTGAACAATCGAGCCGAGTGGACACAGGAACGCACCCAAGCACTTCCATGGGACTGGCATATAGACCGATCAGTTGGGGTGGTTGAAAGGATTCATGTAGGCATATATGCCGCATATATATTCATACACGGAGTGCTTGGGAAAGATCTGTAACACCCATGCGCCTTCCTGTTTGTAGGGGCCGGACCCTCAGATGGAGTCTCAAATTCTTAGGTTTGCATGGGCTGGGCATGGCGGTGCTCAGGAGGTTCCAGAAATTGATAGATGCATGAAGTCTCCTGTCACTCTTTGATCCTCCTCCAAGCCTCCTCTTAGGTTCGTTCATGCCATTCAGGAGCTACCTGCAAACTTTGCCAGCAGCAAGTGCCCTCAGAGGGAGGAGAGGGATCAGTTTCTGGGTGATTTCAGGCGTCCGTCGCAGCCCGTTACGGGCATGAATTGTTCCATGACGTTTTCCCGATGTGGGGATGACTGCGATCGCACGCGTGGTCGCCGGGGATCAGAACTGGGGCAAAGTGGTGGGCCATTGAGAGACCTTGCTTTCAGAGATGAAACCGCTGTGGTCAGGCAGTTCTCACTTATACTTGGAGAGAACTGCATCTCAAATGCCTAGAGATTTTGACAGCCCAAGTGCCCGTGTTTGTTTCGCGTGTTTGACAAAGATTGCATCATGGCAGCACAGCCTGAAGCGCAGAAGCAGCCTTCGTGGTGGCAGAGGATTTTTACCACTGCACCAAGAGGACAGTACGCAGTGGATGAGAAGCAGCAGGTGGTCAAGGAGAATGAATTCGTCATCATGCGCTGGAATTTGTGGCCAGGGGCTGTTTAGATATTGCATGTTTTAACTGCAAATTCCCTTCATTTTTTGTGGAAAAAGCATGTGCTCGAAGCGGAAACGCACGAACTAAGGTTGTTCTTGATCTTCGACTCCTGGCATCGATTCAAACGTTCGATTTGATAATATGTTGTTTCCCCTCGTGCAAAAAACATGTAAACCCGACTCACGAGATGCTTCGCTGTGTTTCACACCCGGTCTCCAAGCTTCGCAGTTTGCGATCGTTCGCGTTGTTGGCACGGTCCTTTGCTGAGGACTTCATCATCATTCCATTGCCCTTGTGGATTGACATCTTTTGCCCCATCTTCGCGGCAGTCTATGGCCTTTTTGTAGGATGGTTGGGTGCCTTCCTGTTGACGGTATGCGCCTGGCGTTCTTTGGAGGCCAACTATTTGATGAATAGGGTGGTGGATGACACTTGGGAAGACAAGATCCCGCGCAACACCGATGAGGAGAGACGTTTGGCGGATAACTTGCAGCACTTGGTGATGATGTGTGGTTATAAGGAGCCTATGGAGGCGACTCAGATGAAGTTTCCCTGCCAGGCCAAAACGGAGGACGAATTTGGGCGATTATCGCTAGGTCGCTAGGTGTTTGAAATTGTTTGAAGATCCTCATATACAGTCTGTATCCTTTCACATCCCTCTCAGGGTGTGTGTGAAATGTATTCCTCCCATTTCGACTCCCTGGAAGGAAACTGTGGAGGTTGCACCATAACCGCTTCGGCCAAGGGGGCAAACCCTTATTCAAACACACACGCACTGAGATCTCAATAAATTTAAGGTTTTGTGGTGGGCTTATGTTCCAGTCCCAATTCCCAGCGCTTTCGCTACTGCGAACCCCTGTGTGGAGGGTAGGACTTCGAGGCAAGCATTCCTGACACATGCTACTGGCATGCCGCAGCTGGGGGGGTTGAAAAGGGTCGAAACGATTTGCCCTCGGAAACCGACTACGTCAGCATATCATGTACACTCCCACTCACTAACATGGAAATGGACGTTCTGGCCCCAGGGGAGACCATTTTCCACTACAAACAGGTGGTTTTCCACTTCCATGTTGTCGTCACGTCATTCACTCCCAGGTGATTTGCCAGTCCATTGACTCCTTGGCCGCACAATCCGCGGCGCACCGCCTCATCGTGGTCATTGGCCTCGAAGAAGGCCAGGCCAGTGGCGGACCTTCGGCGCTCAGAAATCTACACATGTATGGCGTAACGGATCCCCAGTTGGGGATCTTTCAGGTGACGTGTCCCACTAAGTCGGCATCATCGTCTTCGGGTCGCTTCGATACGACCAACACCCTAGGGTGGTCATGGTGGATCCACAGGTTTACCCGGTAGTGTTGTGGACATCTTAAAGTGTTATGGCGCAGGGTTGATCTGCGCAATCAACCTTGCAGTTTTCGTCTAACTTTCTGAGCCAATGGACACAGGTCCGCGATTTGTATGAGTCTGAGTCTAACAGTAGAGCAGTCTAACAGTCTGAGTCTAGCGTTTAAATTCAGGTGGTCATTCTTTGGGATGACTTATATAAATATCCTAAATGCACCTTTGACGGTCCATAGAGACACCTATAGGTCTTGGGAGACGTATATATATAATGAATGTACGCCCCCGGAAATTAAGACGACCGGGGTTGCAGTCTCTT